TTGATGTGCACTGTGGTTATTCGAAACAGCTGAAGTCATACTGCTGATCACTGGAAGCTGTTTGACGGGATGTACGTTCAGCCTCTGTGGTGTTTTTAGAGATAGAATGCTGCAGGCAACATTTTGCCAGTTATTTGGGCTGGCGGACAATGACAAACAGGCCAGAATGCCCTCGTCAGTCTCCCTTGCTCTGTTGGTAGCACCTACCAGCGGTTACTGCCCATCGCTATGTGGCCGTCTGCGAGAGCTCTAAACCCGAGCTCAAGGCCAGCACAGACCGACTGTCCTTCGCCGTGTAATTGGGCGAAATTACCGATCACCCTATTCTCCCATCGTACGGTATTCAGAACAACAGAGAGGTTTCCATTCGTTAAAGTACACAATTTTTCTTATGTTTCTCTCAGCTGGATGCCCCACTGAGTCAGTTAAAACGCATCGACTTCGGGGGCAGTTCTGGAAGAAGGTTCTTTGATATACTGGCGTTGTTTCGGACTGCGAAATATCAGATACTTTGCATGAAAACGGACATTCGAACAACGCCTAAGGTGGGATGCCGATGCAAGTTGAGTTCTTTCACAGGGATAGCGTGCATTCCATGAATGAGGTTCGCCGCTGAAAAGTTATGAAATGAGTCAACTTGATGTACCTCCATGGCCTTGTTTGGAATTCCCTCCATGGCGATTCTAGTGGACTTATGACTGCTGTCGTTTTACGGATCCACAGTGACAAAGAATGCTCGCTTGTTTCCTTGTTTTGTTTAGAAAAAGGACCCATCTCACGTTCCTGTAAAGCCGGCGCTCGATGCTCCCTAAGTCTGTTATCGTGTTTTGAAGCTATTCATTCCTAAACTTGTCTGAAGACAATTCGTAAAAAAGCGATTCTCATTTTACGAGAAGTCGTTTGGCAACTCCATCCGTTGGCACACGTTTTGCACTATACCTGTGCTGCCAACTATACATATATGTGCACGCAGATTACCTTGCCCACCACGTTCAGGTCATGCAAAATGAGCATCTTGTCAAACGCTCGCTCCCAGTCATCGCATCAGATGGATGACCGGCTCGGGACGCTGGACTGGTGCTTGGGTGGGGGGAGAATGAGGCCAACGATGAGGACCCCGTCACCACGGCACTCAGCACATGTTCTTCACCTCGAACAATCTGACGCGCTTGGATCTATCACGGTACCTTAAAAGCCGTGGCTCGAAAGGCTGCCAACTGACGGTCCTACTCTCAGGACGGGGATTCAGACTGCAATGCCTCATTCTTCAGATGGCCTTCATGATACTTCCGTTCAGATGCGATCGAAGCCGATCATTTCCCGTTTCCGTGAAAACGGGGTTCATTGCGCACAAACCAGGTGTGTGGTCTGCGCAGACAAGCCATATAGTCTTTGCGATCACTGCTCGATCCCGCTGCCGGTCTTCTCAAGGTTACCTAAACATCGGGTCTAAGGTGATTGGTGGACGAGGGAATACAGTGGATGCTGTTCAAGTCTCCTATCAGTATCAAGTAACTTACGCGCAAGTCACCGTCTCTTCGTTCTCTGTGTTGCGGGGCACACGCTGACTGGCCACCACTTGAGCTTGGCCCACGAGCCTACAAAAGCGGCTGCCACCATTATTTCAGGGACTCTCAGGCCTGACTGGACGAGGTCAACACCAACCCTGGCTTCGCCAGTGGCCACTGTCGCCTGAGAGGACAACACCGGGTTCTGTGCACAATAAATCCCTCATTCTGGTTTCTTTCGTCTTCTCTTTACGACTTGGGATTCCACCTGGTAGTTATAGCGCTCAGAGCACTTACTCACACTGCTCAGTCGCTACAGATGCACGCGCTACTTTGTTTCTCTCATTCGGTGACATCCGAAGTGTTATGAGATCTCTGTCTAACATTGTTGAAATAGTACTGTAACCGAGGTCCATTTGGTCTCTGTCGACGACAGTGGCGTACCAAAATCGTAGCATCCTTTTCCCTAGAGTGCGGGTGAGAGAGAGAGTGAGTCAGGCTTCAATGACCCCTTGTGAGTGTGGCCTTAATGGCACTTACTTAGTTGGGATCCGAGCAACTCCTTTCTTATTTCTGCGAAAGTCTGGTCCATCATGCGTGCACAGGGCGTGTGTGGTACGCATGGACTGGACGTTTGGCTTTGTCAGCCACTGTGCTTGACCCCGCCTCCGATCCTCTTGACTTTATCTTGACGTCGGGCCTAGGTGAGTGAGGGAGGACAGTGTTGTCGTCTGCGTCCGACGACGAATTGGGGAATCGGCGTTGAAAATGAACTTAAAATAGTTTCTTTTCCCAACGAAAGTAATTGGCTTTATCACATGCACATGTGTATATCCAAATGAAGTATCGACAAAAGCCGGAGGACTGGAATGACAGTTTCCGAGTTATTAGCCGTCATTGGCCAACCACACCAACCCCAGACTCGTTGGTTAGAGCGATGGACTTCCAACCAACGGAACTCGGGTTCGAACCCTCGGGGTCGCAAGCCTACGACTGGGCATGGCTTGCCAATGACAGCTAATGAGTCGGAAATGTCTTTGCCGGCACCCCTCCTTGTGTCGTATCAGTACGTACTTTAGTTTGTTTCTAACAGTTGACGATCTCTATGCTGATTTAAGGTAAGCAATTCAGTAAAACGTCTGCGTTTATTAATATCCTAAAACAGGAAAACGAAAATCTTTACGACAATGCCGTAAGTGAATGTGCAAACTCTTCTTTTCATTACGGACTGATCCACAACTAATCGTTTCCCGCTTTTTGAGCAGATTTCCGTCTCGTCAATAGCGCAAGTGCGACAGGTTTTTGATGGTGCAATCAGGGAAGCTAAAGTGCTAACGTAAGCCTGCAGAGCATTCAATAAACCCCGGTTCGAAAAACGGTGTATCAGAACCGAATCCATTTCAGACGGGGTTAAGAGGATAGTTTAAAGACCAGAAATGACAGTAGAAGCTACATGAATTTCGGCACTCTACACTAAACGGGTCAGTGGGAGAGCATGAGGAATAAATGGAACGAGTAAACACGAGGCAAGGTCTGAGAAGGCTTAATTCAACTAAACTTTTCAACTACGAAGGCCTCCTCTAAACAGTCAAGACTTTATTCCAAAAACATGCCATCGCAGTTCGATGAAAGTTCCAAATAACAGAGATAATAGAGCTTTTTACCTATAAGCTGTGCACTAGCCAGATGCATCTCTGTGAGAACATACCAAGTGAGCAAATAAAAAAAGTTAAAGATAGTCGCTCAGCTGGATTTTTGCATTTCGTCAGGGTTGAGAAAATAGGAAAAGGAGGAGGCAAGAAAAATCCGACCCGAAGATGATTTAGCTTACATAAATCTGCGTCTGGCTGGTTGCGTTTTGCTCGTGCCGGCGGCAAGGTTGGTGAAAATCCTTCAGTGCAACCGATTTGCTTAGCCTGATTACGACGTTCCGCGCTCTTTCAAGCGATTACAATCGCACTAGCTTTCAATGGTTCGAGAGCGCTCTACAGACTTCCTGGAATTTTGCTCGAAAGTGAATACTGTCCATGTGGGTATGGATGTGCGTAGTGGTTCAGTGTCTCCTTCTTCGAGCTATAATGACAAATATTTATTATTCGTTTGCACAGAGGCTGGACTGATAGATTTTTCAGTCGATTAAGTTTACTGGGCGGGTGTGCAAATTAAAATCTCCTGCATCCTGGGTAAATAGGAAATCCACCCACGCAATCCGTTGAAATATAACGTGGGGGAATTTACCAGTCTTGAGCAGGGACGTGCTTGGATCTTCGGACTAGCCTAGTGTATTACGAAAATTTGCTCAGCGTATAGTACTGAGGTTGAACTGAAGGACACTCAGCAGTTGATTCTCGGAAAAAGCTATCCTCGGTGACTCTTTGTAAAAAATAACCCAGTGGGTCAACAGACCCTGCGTGGATGGGAGCACTTATTTTACTGGATTGTTTTCGGGGCGATTTTACGAGCGAGTTAATAAGACCGTTTCCCAGACCTACGCAGACGCATAAATGCAAACGGTATACTCTGCTGACCGACTTCCACGGTCTCAAACCAAAGTTGCCATCACAGGCCATCTTGATGAGCATCTGTTCCCTCAGGCACTCCCATAGGGTATACTGGTTTATTCGATCGAATCAGAGCTTGGACAAAAGAGTGAAAGATCAAATGTCAACATAGCCTGTAAAAGTACGGGCGGGAATGATGAACACCTCTATCGTCGTGCCTGTGACAGGACACGGGTCATTAGACCGACAAAAAAGAACTATCTATGTGGTCTACGTAGTTGAAAAAGCATCACAGAAGGGTCGATCGCAAATATCCAGTTAAGTGTGCAGTGTCAGCCATGCCCTTAATTCCATACTTCTTCCGCCATAATATTTGCCAAAAACTGTCCAGCAACGATGTGAAAGGGCCTTGATTATTGTTAGCTGATGGCGATTATCTAGAGGTTCAAGAAGTTACACCCTCTTCTTGTCCAACTAGTCAGTATTAGTCAGAGGTAAGAAACTCGACTTTCAAAGCCGACCATTCTGCGTCTCCTACGCTAAAAGATCACATATGCATTTGGATGGAACATTGCGGGAGTACGAAAACAGGGATTTATTCTTCGTTAGCCGTTGCCAAAGCAGCAGAATTCGTATGCTATTTGGATATTGCCGAAAAATATTCCAAAATATCTTGAGAGTTGATTCCAGAAATCCAAATCTGTAAGAAACTTCCAAACAATGAATACGTTTTGGGAAGGATCTGAGGTTGGCAAAACTGGTTCTGATCCATTAGTAAATTTCAGGAACTTCAAGACACGAGACTGGCTAATTTAGAATATGTATGAAACTGATATATTCTTCAGAGTTCCGCCTTACTGTTTTTCCGTGCCCGATAGTGATATGCACACTACCACACTTAAAGTTAGATCGAAGGATCGAGTGGCACAAGTCATTTACCTTAATGACCCTGTATTCTACCAAATTCAACCTTTAATAATTTGAAACAAATTCAGCTTGTTCTAGTAATACAGGGTGCCGATGTGGAGACCGTATCGATTTTAAACTGTGTTTCGCAGACGCAGAGGGCTTGGATGGCCTCGGAAAACCGTCGCAGCACTCCATCGCCGATTTTAGTGTTGCGAAAGAGGGTGCTGCCCAGGTAGGTGAAGTTGTCCACAGCTTGCAGTTGGGCGTCGTCCACGTTGATTTGGGGTGCGAGGTAGGCGGAGTCAGGTGGCAGTTGATGCGTAAACACCGTCTTCTCCGTGTCGATGAGTAAGCCGAAGTTGTCACAGCCGGCGGGGAATAGATTCTTGCTCCCTTGCATGTCCTCTTCATAAGTCACGCTGAGTGCGCAGTGGTCGGCGAAGAGCTCATGGACGACTTTCTGCATAATTTGCCACAGTCCTTCGCGATCCACCGTGACGAAGGCTTTCGGCATATACAAGAAGGTAAAGTAAAGGGGAATCTGCACCTCCTGACACTTCACCTGCAGTTGACGGACGACGCAGATCATGTCGGTGGTTCCGCGACGACGACGGAAGCCGCACTGGCTTTCCGGCAGGAGACCTCGTTCCAGATGGTTGTTGAGACGATTGAGAAGGAGGCGCGCAAAGATCTTCCAGCTATGTCCAACAGGAGAATGCCTCTATGATTGTCGTAGATTTGGCGATTACATTTCCGCTTATAGAGATGAACGATTGTGACGTCCTTGAAATCCTTCTGAACTTTTCCTTTACGCCACATCTCCTGGATGAGGGCCGTCAGATGCTCCATGAGTTAGTAGCCACCGTGGTTGTAGATCTCAGCAGAGATCGCGTCCGCTCGGGGCGCTTTCCTGTTAGAGAGCTGCTGCACGGTCAAGATGGTTTCGTGGAGAGGGCGCAGGAGGCCGAGGTCGGCTTTGGTCTGCACTTGAGGAAGACAGGCGATGGCGGTGTCGTGATGGTAGAGGGACGGTTAGGGACGCCTCTGAATTGTTCCGCTCATCGTTGCAGAATTTGTGTCATCTCAGTGATAAGGGTTGTTTCGTCGGGGCTGGGAGGAGAAGCAGTGCCTTTGGCTGTGGAACCGTAGACAGCCTTGATCGCAGAGAAGGGGCTCTTCCATTCGTTGCGATCCGCCTATCCTTGGATCTTCTCGGCCTTGCAGGCCGTCCAAGCCTCCTGCATTTGCTGCAGCCACTGTTGCGCAAGGCGGCGACCACGCAGAAGTCTGCTTTGTTGTCATCGGTAGGGCGGCTGACGTAGGCTTTGTGCAGACGATTTTTCTCGGCGAGTAAGTTACTGATGGCGGCGTCATTGTCTTCGAACCAGTCCTGACCTTGGCGACGTGCGGAACCGAGGATAGCCAGGGCGGTCGACTGAGTCTTGTCGCTCAGCTAACACCATCGATTCCCCACGGAGATTTTCTCGTCAGCGGCGGCGGCAGCGGCGACTGGAAAGCTAGTTAGCCTTCGGGGTCGTTGATTGCTGGAATGGAGATGGTGAGCAGGCAAAGACAACAATGCAATACCCAGCCTGCCTGGGTGGCCCCTACCATGAGGTCTCCTGCGAGGCTGTAGGCTAATCCGCATCTTGGAGAAGACGAGGGTGGTCAGTCCACCCGTCAGCATCCGGGATCGCCTTTGTCACCAGCAAGTCCCGCTGGTCTCCCCTCCGAACGAGGACATAGTCCAGCAGGTGCCAGTGTCGCCTCCGAGGGCACATCCAGGTCGCAGGTTAGTAGGAGTAGCAGGCCATTGTCATTGGAGCCGTCGGGAGTATGAGGACCGAGCACCCCTCTCCAGGCAGCATGGTCTGTGTCGACGAGGACGTTGAAGTCACCGGGGCAATCGAATTATCCGCCTTCGACACAGTCGCCAGGAGGACGTGCAGATCTTCGTAGAATTTGTCCGTTGCAACGTCAGGGCTGGTCATCAGGTGATGATTTGGGGAGTCACATATGGGAGTTTGAGGCCAGTTAATGGACGCTAGACGTAGTCTTCATCTGAAAGCAAGTGAGCGACCTACTACAACCATCAGGTAGATCCACAACTGGACACCCCACACCCCCTCTGCTTACTATATGCACCAAAAAGTAGTTTTAACTCTGGTAGCGCGCTAGGCAACAGCTTGGATGTCGACTCGGCTGGGTAGGCTTAGATGTCTTTGAAATTTCGAACTTTGTACACTGCTGTCTCGCCCTTGAAACAAGTCCTGTCTTCAACTGCGCAGCCGCAGATAAGTACTCGGATTGGTGAAAAGACAAACCGTGAGGTGGCTGAAACTTGAGGGCAATTAGTATGCCGACCTCAAAACCGTCCACAGGTCGATAAGCAGTCATCATCAGACCTCGAAAACAGACTGTTCATAGGCCAAAACGGTATATAACCACCGCTAGCATTGTTGCTGCTGTAATTTCTGACTCCTGCAGTGCTTCTAAAGCTCGCGCCAGCAGACAGGAAGTTCAGGTACTCAACCACTTTCCTCCCTTCTCACTCCAAGAGAAATGTGGAAGATTCATAACCCACCTTGTGATCCATGCTGCCGTGAAGGCGTAAGAGTCTGAGGTCGGATGCTGTCAGCGGCGAATGCATGTCGTCATTAGTATGACAGAGGTTTCCGCTGAACAAGCGATAGTGGAAATCAACGCAGTCTTGAGTGTTAAAAAGACGATGTTTCTGAATCGTTTGTTGTACTGGGGATTGAAAAAAGATGAAAAATGAAACTATACCGTTGCACAAACAACAAACTTCTGCGAATATCCAAAGTCATCTGAACGTAAAGAGGAAAAAGTAAACGACTGTGCTGGTATTCGAAAAAGGATCGGAGTGCGAGTTATATTAGCCGAATTATCTCATGAAATATTAATCTAAATGCTGAAGTGTCTTCGATTAGGACAGACTACTTGGGAGAGGCTGCGATACTGACTATCATGTGATGTAATCTGAAGATATTTCAGTCATACCAGAATATCCGCCTACAGAAATCATGCCTGCTAAAAGTCGTTTCTTAAGCAGTGCGCATTTTTACACTGAATTCAGATGCCTGTATAAATTTAATTACTCAACAGAAAGCTGGCATATGAAAATCCAGCCCAAACTAGGGAAATGCGTCTTGTTTAAATGTTGCTCTCGGGAGGCACGCCTATAAGTTCCTAAAGAAATTTGAAATTAGCAGAATTTTGCGACACTTAAGTGGTTTGAGTAGCGCAATACTATCTATAGATATCGCAAAACTTAACGGATCTTACTGATGCGATAACGCAATATATGTTTTTGTATAAATTAAATGCATGCAGCATGCAATCTGGGAAACCCAAAGGCAAATAACGGGACAATTTATAAATTTTTTGGAACCATGAAAACTACTTTTCAAATAGAGCATTTCAAAAGACCTCATTATGAACAAAAATAAGTAAAAAGGAGTTTTGCTATGTTCACTTATACAAAATCTGCTTAGACTTATACATACATTGAAAACCAATGCAAAAATGGCTCACCACTTATGCAACGACTTTTACCAATCGTGATTTCCACTCATCCCATAGCCAACACCGAGGTGTGCATGATATATCTTAGAACTACGTTACATGCCGACCAACACCGTCAGCTTACCTAAGTGTGTACTTCTAACCGAAGGCATATTTGAGAATTTGAGCCAACGATTCGTAAGGTTCGGCAGCCACTGTAAAGATTTTTTGGAAGAAAGGCCCGTGTAAAGAGGTTTAACAAAAGTAGCAGTGATTTGGTAAAAGACTAAATAGCTCCTGTAAAATAAAGAAGAGGGATTGGAATTTGCGGATAAAGGCCAGTCAAAGACCCGAGGAGAAAAACAAAGCAAAAACAACCAACCCGGGCTTTGCGGAGTAGGAAGGCGGCCAGAGTAACCAGATGCAGTCTGCATGGACAAACAAGCAGAAAGTGTTTGAGGCCGGTGGGAATTGAACGATGAGCGTAAGGGGAGTTGTAATGGACTCTTGAGAAGGGGAGTCGGCTTTCGAGATAGCAGACTGCAATGACGGCTGTTCGTTGACCACACAACGAGCAGGATAGCGGAGGGCCAAACCTGCCAGGTTGTCGACACCCATACATCATCACATATTATCCCACCAACACCTGCATCACACAGCACCATAATCCACCCCAAGCATTCAATTGCCAACTCCCACGTAAGTAGGAAGCGTGCGTCTCAGCACCGTCTCCATGCCGCCTCTCGGCTGCATGTGGGATTCGAGTCTGAGACTATCATGGCGCGTCAAACACCATGGCATGGAGGGTTCTTGACTGACGTCCCAACTCAATCCACGCAGTCTGCCCAGCGTTTCCGTGGAGTGGCGGACTGGTGGGCTGAGAGCCAGGCTCAATTGGCTGCTTCTTAACGTGACCTACGACACTCGCACTCATGTGAGATGTACGCTGCTCAACCCCCGATGTGTGAAATCCTGGTGTTTGTGTTTGGGGGGCCAGGTCGTGCATGTGGCGCGCGCAGACAAGGACACTAGATATGTCAGCCACCACACCCATTCCCCGCACCTGTCAACTGACAGGCTCGGACAGTGACTAGGGCATGACAATGAGAAGGAAGAGTGAGGTCGACAATTCAGCGCAGTTTCCCCACTATAAACAACCTGAATCAATTGAAACTATCACGGTGCGCTAAAAGCCGTCACTTGGAAGATTGCCAACTGACGGGATAACTTGGGCCTCGCAGTTGGCCGAGTGTTGTGTGTTTATGTAGAGTGGCCGACTGGTGGTCAAGAGTCAGGCTGCAATGGCTCCTTCTTAAAGTAGCCTTTATGACACTTCCAGTGCGTGGGATCCGAGTTGAGTGTAGCGGCACGCGTAGGTTCGACTTCGGCCGTACCAGCCCCTTCTGTTCTTGTTGTTGGTTAAAATCCTGGTTATTTGTTGTATGGACCAGGGGATGTGGAGTGGAGCGCTAAGGTGCGGGCTCGACCGTGCCATCCACTTGCGTCCTCCCTCACCTCCGGTCTTCATGACTATGTCTTGACACCGGATACAGGTGGGGGGAGGAAGAGAGGGTGAGGCAGATACTGTGCAAGTCTGCATTCATTATAAACCAAATCCCGCGCAAGTCACCGTGCTTGCTTTCACCTGGCCGTGGGGCACACGGTGGACATCGTCAGATGCGGCACTCGAACTGTCAGCATGTGCGTGTGGACGTGCGGTGACTGGCCAGCAAACTGAGGGTCTTGTTAAATAGCTCCTTCTGAAGTTTGCTTTAGTGGCGCTCACGCATGTGAGAACCTAGCCACCCACTTTTTTTAGACCTGGTACACTCTGTCGGGGGACCCGGCTACGTGTGTTACGTGCAGACGGGTTAATGAACACTAGCACCCACAGCGTCAAATCCCAGTATCAGAAGGCTGACCGGTTTGGGCAGTGGAGTGGTGCACGAGAAAGGGAAGAGAGGATGAAGTCAAGTCCGACAAATCCACCCCTATGGCAATTCAACGTACTCCTCATCACAATAATTCTGATGAGCTTTCAAATCACCGCAATCCGTTAAAAGGCAGGCCATGGTAGGTTGCCTACAGACAGGATAACTTGGTCCGCCTGACCAGTACTGTGTGTGTATGCGGGGTGGCTGAAAAGAGGACTGGGAGTCCGGCTCAGTGACTCCTTCTCAATGTGTCGAGTATGTCACTCCCGCACAGATGAGATGTGAGTCGCCACACCTTCCATGGAAACCTGGTGAACTGTGTGGGACCAGATCGTGTATGGCTTTGCCAGTCGCTGCATCCGAGCCCGCTTCCTATCGTCCTGACTGCGTCTTGCCATCGAAGACTGGCGGATTAGGGAGGCGAGACCGCGGCAGACGCCATGCAAGTCCCCGATGCTGCGGCCACTCAGTGGGAGACACGGTCAACGTAATCGCTTGCGACAACCGAACTGCCGATAAAATGTGACAAGTTTTACAAGGACTGAACTCAAGGAAATTTATGAAACACTTAGACCAATTCACTGTAGTAATTATTTATGTGGCCTGAGGTTTAAAATACAGCTGCAATGCTGATTGCCACATGACGATACTTTCAAGTTAAAGTATTGCCTTGAATTAAATTCCAACTCTAATCTAACTTAAAGAACGCGGAGCTGGTTAAACGGAACTTTACAGACGTTACGGACGTTACAGAACGAAAAGACAAGACTGTCATTTAGTCTGGAAACCAATGTCCGATTCTGCAAACAGCAATGCAACTCGGAAAATTGTGACTCGACTTATGCCCCCCTGCCATGGTGTACAGGAATGTCTGGTTGCAGAACTAGAGTTGGAAGCGTCGGAAACTTCAGTCAGATGTGGTTATGTAGCCGCACCTGATGGAGACAATACTGTTGACCCACATAATTATTTTGAGTTGGTGTAATTACATTAGCACGGTGTTGCTGTGCATTGCGGTGTGTGTTCTGTTGGCGACCTTGTTTCTTTGTTGTAATGTCTGCCTTTTTTGGCTCAATGCCGGTGGTTCTTCTCGACTTCCGATCGGTCGTCTCCTTCTGACTTTCGCGTTGGATGTTTTAGGGTTAGGGTTTAGGGCTGCGGTTAAGGGTTAGGGTTAAGGAGTTAGGGTTGGGGTTAAGCGTCAGGGTTATGGGATTATGCTTAGGGTTTAGGGTTAGGAGTTATAGTTAGGGGTTGGGGTAGAGGTTAGGGTTAGGGTTTAGGGCAACTGTTTCTCAAACACTCAAAGCACAACCGCGCATTCCCTGTAGCTTTTTTTGCATACAATTACTTGACCTCGTCGCCTGTGCGTACCCCGGACACACCTGCAAAAGCTCCTGGTACCACCGCCGCGTATTACGGCTGGCTGGATTTGGTTTACCCCAGATGCGGCTACATAACCAAATCTGACCGATACTTCGTCAAGAACACACTGGGATTTGGACCTTCACAAACGGCGACGTCCGCTGTGT